ATATGTCATGATTGAAATTCAAGTTTGCAGAAAGGACAGATGGCAATCTTGATTATATTTTTTAAAGATTAAAATATAGTCATTGCAAAGTGTGGCAACTGAGGAAATTAAACCAAAGTGCTTAATAAATGCAAGACAGGTTCAAAATAAAAGGTCTCTCCCCATGGGTGTGAATTGCTTTCCACGCTACCAAAAGCCTCTGTGTTTTCAAAGACGTGACAACAAAGAGGTGGTCACTAGGTCCTCCCCACCCCCACATTTTTCGTGACACACTACATCTAGCAAACCATGCCTCTTGTCAGCAGTAAAATGACCCTGGACAAAGCCCACACTGATGGATCAGGATTTATGCTCTGCTCCAGGAGCAAGAATACCTTTCAGTATCACTCAGTGACTTTAATAGTCAAACTACTAGTTTCAATAAACTGAAATCACAACTTGTCACAAAATAGATAGCAGTTGGCAGGGCGCTGTGCAAACTTTCCCACAGTTCTTTAGCAGTATGCCAGGTTGTGACCCCAGAGGGCGAGGGCAAGGGTGAAAAGTAGCCAGTGTACTCAGTCCATTAAGCCATGGATGATGTAGTGTTGGAGATTCTCAGAAAACATGCCTACTGGAGTCAATCCTGATATCTCTTTATTATTGTAAAATGGATTTATTAAAAAAAGAATGAAGTGGTGGAATAAGGACTTTGAAGTCTGCTGCCAATTTCACTTAATGATAAGGGGTAAAGGAGTCTCTCGTTTTAATTCACTTGGGAGATTCTTTTTCTTATTAAAAATCCATAGGAAAAGAAATGGCTTTTAGCATTTAGCTAGATTATAGACAACTATCCAAGCATACTGGCTGAAAGTGTCTGTTTTATAAGTTGTATTATTCATTGGTAGGTTTTTATGTTATAGAGATATTATCAAAGAGGTGCGTGAATAAATTTAAATGAGATATTTCTGATTACAAATTATTAAAAAGTTTACTTTTTGTGACGGTTCTTCGCTTTTACAAAAGCTGGTGACACAGATGTCCAATCATCATAGATCACAAGGGTCCACTCCACTGGGGAAACTCTGCTTTCCTTTCCTGTTCCTGTCCCAGGATTATGAAGTTATGTGCGCCCTTCTCATTGCTCCCCCTACACTTTTCACTCACCTTTATTACGGTTCTTGCAACCCTGAATAATAATTATGCATTTACACTTCTATCATGTCTACTAAATTGTGCATGCCTTGAGAGCTTCACTATGTCTTAATCATACTTATAATTCTGGGTGAGCAGTCAATTGAGCAGGCACTCAATAAGTGATAAATGCTTCAGAAGGCTTTCCCATTTCTCTTTAGAAAATTATCAACATTAGAAATTGCTATGTTCTCAAGGAAGGCAAGATTGTCTGCTGTCATTGCAGTTAAAGCAATCAACACCACATCTACCACGCAGCACTACTACAATTTCTGTCCTTCATTAATTCCAAATTCTTCAGTTTGTTGCATTTCTAAGGACAGAGATAGGTATTTTTTATCACTAAAATAGCAAAAGTTAAGAAAGAGACTATTGGTACCCCACAGGTCTGCCTTGGGCTTAGAACAAAAGTGGAAAGAATAGAAATAAAATAGATTATGCAATCTATACAGTAAGATTTTTGGCTAGTAAAAAGTTACAAGAAGTAAAACTGCACTTCACCACTGACTGCGACTTCTTGTCATTGAGGAAAAGTGTGCACTTTGCAGAACACTGCGTGCCTACTGAGCGGCAGGACTCCATCCCAGAGGCCACCACGCCGGCGCTCTCAGAAAGCAGACAAAGTATTACAGAGTCAAAATAGAATGACAAAAAGGTGAAAGGAGTGAAGAATCCATAGGTGACTACCGATTTGGTTTACCTCTAGTGTTTCTCTGAGTGTTTCTACTTGCTTATGTGGAAAAAAAATTCAATCAATCCTGAAAAACTAAGGAACGGAAAAGCCAGTGTTTTCAAGCAGCAAACTTGAAGGCACTAAGCAAGCACACTGCTTACATCTGCTTCTTCAAAAGTAGAATCGAGTGTATGCTTTGATTCGGAGCTTATGGAACTTGATATGGCCTGTGCTGCTAATGCTAATAGTACTTTGTAATTGCCCTTGACCTATGTGTCAGAAGGGCTCTTTCTAAGTTAGTAAAAACTAATAGTGGTCAAAAACTTAGCATTGCATCAATTTCTTTTACTACAAAAAGTATCTTTTTAGAAAAAGATGAATAAAAATTCAATAAACTTTCTTTTTATCTACCTTTATTACTTTTATTTTTGAGGTTATATTATAATTGCTTCACTTTTCCCTTTCCTTTCTCCAAACCTTCCCATATACCCATCATCTCTCTTTCAAATTCATGACCTCTTTTTCATTATTGTTATTACATGTATATATTCCTAAATACAATCTACTTGCTTAGTCTCTGTAGTATCCCTTGGATGTCTGTCTTCAGGGCTGATCAGGGTATTGGATACCCAGTTGGTGCTCTTTCTTGGGAAAGACTGTTCTTCCCACTCTCCGTTGCCTGTAGTCTTTTAAACAAACTTTCTTCTCTTGTCTTTGCCAGATTCCAGAGATAAAGGGACTATAAATAAGGCTTGTTACAATCCCACATAAAATGCGGCCGAGCTAAGTTCAGTTAAGCGTTTTCCAGCTTCTAGTAATGCCAGACACAATTTGAGTGTTCAGTGTTGGCTCTGGTACAATGATGATGCTCTACTCTAAAAGGTTCACAGAACCCAGTTGCCTTTTACCATCTGATTGTTGGACTGGTTGTCACTGGTCTCCCTCGTGTTTCCATTGCCGTCAGTACTTACTCTTCAGATAGCCATCAGATCAGATCAATCCTCAACTCAAATTCCTCCAAAGCATTCTGTCCTGCAAGAGAGAGCTGTGATTTTCAAAGGCCCACTGCTTTCCTTCTCCCCTGTCATCTAGTACATCCATCCCCAATCTGTTTCCTCATACTTTCTGGCTTTCTGAATATTGCTGGTAAGACAGCTGCAGCCGCTTCTCTGGCCTTGCGGGTTCTGCTCCTTGGGGCAGACTACGGCTCACTCTGTCACCTCTTTTTTCTTCCAGCAAGACATGTTCTTCATCTCTTGAAGATTCTGTGCATACAAGCACTCTGCATCACATTTCCCGTCATTTAATTCCACCGTCATATTTACCACTTGGAACATGCCAGAGTGAAGTCCTCTTCTTCGGTCCAAACATCCATGAGCACAGGGGTTATTTTAACTGTCTTGTGTGCTGCTATTATTTTAACTGTCTTGTGTGTTGCTATTTCTCCATCATCTACAATACTGGTTGTGATAAAGCAATGAAGACTTTTCAAAAACAGGAAACATTTTTATGTCCTTACCCAGCTTCTGATTAAGATGTGGTATTGGTATTGGAGGAAATCTTGCTTAGAGGTTTGCATACAAATATTTTACAAAAGCTGTTTGTGCCTGCCTTTGTTTGCTGGTATTAGAATTCTATGAAAGCAAATTAAGTTATTAAAGTCCCAAGTGAAACCGATTACACTGTGTTTTAATGAACGAAATATTTTCAATACCAACTTTGGTGGTGTACAGGACTTGGAAATGAGAGTGGTGAAGGTAAGAACCACAACCCATAAACTTGGCAGGTAGGGCAAAGCATATGGCCAACTCGCCACCAGACATCAGAGAGGACCGGTTCTAGTCATTGCTGAGAAGAATCCTCAAAACCCCAGACTGAGGAAACTTCCATAATGTTAAATTGTGCAATTACATTGGGTTATATAAGACTACTGAATTAACCCATGCATACTAAATCCTTTCAATATAAAATTAATAAGTTAAAGGTGAGTTAAGCTTGTGTTGCCCACTTAAGAATTATCCTATGACAAATAAATATACTCCTGTGTGGATATACAGAGCTTCTCTGCCACTGATAGCTAATCATTCCTCCCCATTAAAATTTAATTGAAAATCTCAGATGATGCTTAAGGTTTCACACAAGTGTAAACTACTGCAGCTGCAATTCACAGTGCATTTAAAACAATTGTTCTTTATAATTAAAGCTAATAATATGCACATTAACCTCTCATGTAGTCTAAATCAATACTGTAGTTTAAAAGATATGACCTCTGGACAGCTTTGTCTAAATATTGATTCCATTGTCATTTGTATAAGGTATCAGACGAAGTACATGATACACCAGTACCGTCCATTCTCTTTTCAGAGAGTCTTTGACTTTGTGAGTTCTTATGAAATGAGACAAAAAAAACGGAGACATCCCAGGATGTACACATGAAATGGATGATTTGAGTATAGCAGAGCAGAGTCACTATGGAGAGATAATGTCCAGGCCCTTTATTTCCAAAAGAATGGAAAACAGAAGTGCCGCTCTTTAGCCTGTCAGTTGCCTGTTGATGTTAAATTCCAAATAACAGACTTATTCAGCCTCATAGGCTCCAGTTTTCTTTACTTTTTTATGAATCCCATAGATATCTCAGGGGAAAGTAGCTCAGCCATAGTCAACTTAAAGTGGTGTCCGTTGGCAATAGAGCCATTTCTCTCAAGTCACATATTAGGAAGGCCCTCTGATGAGCTACTAGTGAGTGAGTTAAGCTGAAAAGTGTAGCTGTAAGATTGAAGGGATTGACTGTTCAAACGCTCACAATAGAACCTAGAATGGAGAGAGGGTGGGCACACTGCACTTTCCCATCACACTGTAGTATTAGCTGTGTTGAAAATTATAGCAGATCAGAAGTCAAGCTATATACGTTGGTCTCAGGTTCTAAATCTCTGTAAAGCGTAACAATTGTTAATATCTTGTTACATCTGTTTTTATGAGATTTGCTATTTTAATTTGTAAGTTTTTTTATTTGTTGTTTATTATAAAATTTTTGGGGGAAGTTTGTGATCAAAACAGATATGATCATGATACCATCAATGTGGGTGCTGTATATACTGAAAAACAAACACAAACAAACAAACAAACAAAGACGTTCTTTGCATATCTCCCACAGGTAAAAGTGATCCATTCTGTGTAGTAGAACTGAACAACGATAGACTGCTAACACACACTGTCTACAAAAACCTCAATCCTGAGTGGAACAAAGTGTTCACATTGTAAGTATATTAATCACTTTATGCTTATTTAAAAACTGGTGTGAAAATATAATTTACCCTGAAAGTGTGTATGTGTGTGTGTGCATGTGTGTGCGCACACACACATATTTGCAGATTCCAGTTCACAGCGCAACACGTTTGCTCTGCCTTTACTAACCATGAATTTCCAAACCCCCTCCCAACCTTCTCAAGAATGAAACTTGGGAAAAAAGGGGGTATGTCCTTTTTCTTTGTTTTCACTATAGGCTTCTTTTTTCCACTGTGCTTTTATGTGGCCTAAGGGTTTGCTCCCCACCACTGAATAAGCATACTGCTTCTTCCTTTTGTATATTCTATTGAAATTTTTCCCAATTGCATGGACACCGAGGAAGACAAAGCTCTGTTTGTCCCACCACTGAAACCAGCAAACAGTCCAGTCGGGCTTGGCAGATGCTTCTTCTGGGTTTGTTTCATTTTAACACAATAAGGAATTAAGCATTGTCCTAAATCTCAAAACAACCTTTGAGTTAATTTTCTTTTGTTTTAAGAAATTTGTAAATCTGTTCCACTGTGCGCCGTGGAGGCTGTGCACGCTGCACTGTAGGAGCGGACAAGTCCCTTAGTTTAAATTGGCTGAAGAGAACGGACTGCACAAAGCAAAACTCTCCAGACAGAAGTACTTAGCAGTTTTCTAACATGGTTTTATTTCTTGTACATAAAAAAACTGCTAAATTCCTCATTAATTCCTTATAATGTCGCTGCTTAAGAGCCAGTAACTAATCAGCTTTAATTATCTGACCAATTTATTTTTAAGGAATTCCACATTTTTATAAGAGATGAAAGCCTAGTCAGGAGGCTTGCGCTCCTGAGAGGGCCATGGAGAGTGTTTTCTCTAGAGTACATAATTGAATGAATAGGTTTGATTATTATCAAAGCGATTAATTGATTGTACCCTGGTAAAGCCTCTTTTCATGTGCAGTTATGGTGTTTCAGTAATGAATATATATATTTTTTTAGTTTTCTATTCATTCCTATTTTCTTGGTAAACAATTTGATCAAAAAATAAAAGCTGTCAACAATTGATACTTATTTTTCTTGAAGCAAAAATATGCAGAATTCACACAGTTTTTTACTATCATGTGTTGTCTTTTACACTTACTAGAATATTGGGATATAACTTTTTTTCTGAATCCAAGGGTAGTCCTACCTTTTTCTCTATTCTGTTTTCTCTGCTTGCTACAAACCTAACTTAGTAAGTGCAACAGTAAGAACTATAAAAATGGACAGGTCATAGTATAGTAAAAACAATTAGAGTTCAAAAGTCCATGTGGCTCCTACTGATAGCAAACCTGTGATATCTTACATAGGAGTTATGCAAGTGTATGATTTATTGTTATAACGAGACAGAAAAGCCTAAATATTGCCAGCAGTACTTAGTGATTTGTCCAGTAATTTATTCTTTGCATATCCAGATCAAAAGTGATATGTCATTAAAAAAAAAACTGAAAGTTCCAGCAGTCTTCAAAGTTCCTCATGCTACGACCCTTGCTGTTGTCCTGTTAGATGTAGCAGGGGAAGCTTTCAACTTCCACCCTGCCCTGTATATGTAGATCTGTGTGCAAATAATACACGTAAAAATAATAGTACAGAAAACAGCTAGTTCTAAGATTTCAAAACCGGTCTATCTTTGCTTCATACTGATGGAGCCTTTTTTCTTCGGGTTTGTTTATTACGCAGCAACATTAAAGACATCCATTCCGTCCTGGAAGTGACAGTCTATGATGAAGACCGTGACCGGAGCGCCGACTTTCTGGGCAGAGTTGCTATACCATTGCTGTCTGTAAGTTTCAGTCACCTGACGCACTGTTCCGTGTTGCTTTTGCTCAAGAAAAAAAAAAAAAAAACCTCAGCTCTGTGTCTGTCATTTCTCAACCAAGGTCTGTAATAAGAACACTAAAAATTTTAACATACTCAATGCACGGCCATGTTGAATCCCATGATAGTTAATTTTTCTTGACAGACTTGATCCTGGTAATGAACAGGTACTTGTCAGAATTGCCACAGTTGTTTTGGGTTCTCTGTCAGTTTCAGCAGCTGGGGGTCAAAGGTCACTGGGGGAGTGTATTCAGTGGAGACCGTGAGACAGACGGCTGTCATGTCCTTTTCCCGCAGATTCAAAATGGTGAACAGAAAGCCTACGTCTTGAAAAACAAGCAGCTGACAGGGCCAACAAAGGGGGTCATCTATCTTGAAATAGATGTGATTTTTAATGCTGTAAGTCTTAACTTTGGCTTTTTTGTACTGCTAAAGAGTTCAGTTTCGTGAAAGCTTTTGTTCCTGGTTTGTAGAGAATTTCTGTCATTCCTCATTTTCTCTAAACCTTGATGTATCTTGGGGAATATGCTTCTGGCACACCCACACTTTCTGCTACAGTGGGGCCGCCGCCGTGTGCTTGGCTGCCGCCCGCCCGCCTGCCTGCCTGCCTGCAGAGGGACGCGCATGCATATGCAACTGTATACATTTATATTTTATGAGCACAGCAGCCAAGACTTTGAAACTTTAGAAATTATTTCAAATTGAACTGCATGCAAAACTTGCGAACAGTTGTAATATATGAACCCCTAACACACACAAGTGTTGATGTATAGGTGAAAGCCAGCTTACGAACATTAATACCCAAAGAACAGAAGTACATTGAAGAGGAAAACAGGCTCTCCAAACAGGTAAAAAAAAAAAAAGAAAAGAAAAGAAAAGAAAAGAAAAGAAAAGAAAAGAAAAGAAA